ATGTACGTACATACACACGCAACACACTTTAGTATCGATACGAAAAACAGTTTCGTTACCGCACAATATGTTGTGTTGTATTGATTCTCGTTGATGGTACATATACATAAAATGCGAGTAACGAGACGAATCTCGCAACGTAAAACGGCGTTTCCACGACAAGCGAATCACGTGTTTCGCTCTCTCAACTACGAACGGCGAATCAACGTGTTTACACGACACATTCGTGTTTCACTTGGCATCTCTGTTTCTTGTTCTTGTTCCTTTCATTTATTTATTGTTTACTGCTGTGAATTTCAACGATGGAGAAAAAATGTAAGATTTTACTTTATACAATTGAAAATTGTGTGGATTTATTGATTTAATCTTCCAGTAAATAGAAAAGGTGCCAGTAATTGGGAAGAGGTCAGCGAAAGGGCGCTTATAGAGGTATGGAGCGAAAGGATTGTAGAATTGCGTGGTTGTCGGAAAAATAGCCACAAACTCTTGGAAATGGCGCAAGATTTGGAAAGACAAGGATATGTGTACTCAGTGGTGGAGCTTAAGAACAAGATGCATAACTTGACGACACGGTACCGGTAAATATTTATGATTTGTGTTGTGGTTCTAAATATCTTTTTTTTTTGGATTAAGGAACTACAAAGTAGCTCAGGGAAATGTTTAGTTATTTGCCCACTGTTTTTGGGTTAGTGTGCGGAAAGAGAGGCGGCGTCTTCCTTTATATCCATCCCACTAGAAAGAGCACAATTCAAACTAAAAATTAGCGTTTTCTAAAATTAGCATTTTGACACCGGAAATATAAACTCGGCTAAAAGATTTTTCTGTGCAGAACACCTTTTCATGTTAGCGGAGGGGCCGGAAGCCCCTCTTCTATTGTCAAAGCTACACAATATTTATTTGTCATCTATTGAACATATACATATAACTCCGGCTAGGCAATCCACAATATTTTTGCGTAGAACTTATCACGAATCCACGGATGATTATAAAAATCAAATCGCAAATTGATATTAAATTTTTTATTGTATTTTTTATCTTCCACAGAAAGGAGAAACAAAAGGTAGGACCAACAGGCGGTTCACCCTCGACCTGGAATCTTTTTCAAGAAATGCAATCCTTATTGGCTCCATATAAAAGTTATCACACAGAAGGTCTGTTGGTCGACAGTGTAAATAGTATGTATATAGATAATTTATTCATAAATATTTACCGGTACCGTGCATACATAATTTATTAAATTTATTTACATATTTATTTTTTAAGACATAAACTCCCAGTCGTTGTGTTCAATCCCGGGTTCACCATTGCCTTCACCATCAGCGTATTCTGCTTCACCGCTGCCATCGCCATCAATTGCTGCAACTTCGCCGCTGCCATCACCATCCATTCCTATAACTTCTCCGCTGCCATCACCATCCATTCCTATAACTTCTCCGCTGCCATCACCATCCATACCTGTAATTTCGCCGGTGCCATCACCACCCATAACTATAGCTTCGCCGCTGCCATCGCCAAATATGTCGGAAGATTCACCGGCACCATCGACTTCCGCTAGAGCTAGAAGAAAAGAGGAATTAGCTAATTTATTCAAAAGGGTGGAGAGGAATATTGAAACAATTCAAAAAGATATAAAATCTACGTCGGAAAAGTTTGTTTCTATTGAAGAGGAGAAAAAAGAAATTTTAAAATCGTATGTGAAGAATGAAGCTGAGGTGCAAAAGGCACTAATAGAGTTTCTGAAAAGGCCATAAGTTTCAGAAAATGGAATGAAAACAGTACATTGAAGAGTACAGTCAGAGTTAAAAGTTAGTACATATGTATACACCTTATTCTATTATAATATTCAAAGTGTTTTTGATGAAAAAAGTTTTGCAATCATTTTTTGTTAAAATTTTCAAGATTTCAGAATTTTTAAAAACTTTTGAGGTATGCAATAAGAAAGTGCAGGTTCCAAGTGCCTGAAAATTTCCGTTCATTTTAAATAATTTTTGCGTAAACCGTATAGCGTATTTCCTTCCATACAAAAATACATATTGCATGTACGCTCTCTCCATTATATCTGCGTACACCCTTGTTTTTTTAAACATTCACAATGTTTTGCAAGCTATAATTTTTTTGTTATTTTTTTACAAAAATATGGTTCATGCCTCAAACAAAACCATATAACTCAAAGCTACAAAGTGCATACAAAATTAAGAAATATTTAATGAATTTTCATCGAAATTTTAAACTTTTTACTCAGCTTTTTTAAGAAAATTTCTGGTATGCAGTTTTATAGCCCATTGAATTTTAGTACAATAAAGCGCAAGTTTCAAGTGGCTAGAAAATACCGTTGATTTTTTGACAATTTTTTTGTTGACATGCTAGGCATTCTCTTCCATATAAAAAAAAATTCGCTCTTACCTTGTATGGAGAAAATTCCTACAGCCGTCAGCAAAAAAAAATTATTAAAAATCAACGGTATTTTCTAGCCATTTGAAACTTCCACTTTATAATACTAATAATAATAAAAAATTGCATACCAGAAATTTTCTTAAAAAAGCAGAGTAAAAGTTTAAAATTTCGATGAAAATTCATTAATTTTTTCTTAATTTTGTATGCACTTTGTAGCTTTGAGTTATATGGTTTTGTTTGAGGCATGAACCATATTTTTGTAAAAAAATAACAAAAAAATTATAGCTTGCAAAACATTGTGAATGTTTAAAAAAACAAGGGTGTACGCAGATATAATGGAGCGAGTGTACGTTATAGTAAGCAATAAAATTATTTAAAATGAACGGAAATTTTCAGCTACTTGGGAACTTGCCTTTTATTTAATTGAAATTTAATGGGCTACAATACTACATACCCAAAAAGTCTAAAAATTCTGATTAGAAAGTTTGAAAAAATTATAATATATGTATTTGTTGAATTTTTGTGAACTTAATATAAGGTAAGAAACTTTGATTTACATGGTTCTAGTTATATAATGAACTATATTTTGATAAAAAATGCTTGAACAAATTTTTTCATGAAAAACATTGTGAATATTATATTAGAACAAAGGGTATGCTAGCTTTTAACTCTGACTATATGTAGTTTGAGTTTGAAACTTATAATAAATAAGTGTAAAATTTAACACAGAATGCATTACAAATATTAAAAAAAAAAAATTAACATATACTCAATTTTGTAAGTAACTACACATTACTTTTATTTTCGTAAGTTTATTTTTGTATGCTTCCCTGAAGGAACGATTTTAATTTTTAACTTATAGCGAAAAATGTGTAATACATGAAATTTATAATAAATAAATGTAAACTTACACAAATAAGAAGAAATAGCGTTTCTTATACTTTCTGGATTGTTTCGTTGTTCCGCTAGTACCGCTACATATTCAGGATACGCGCGGTTTGCTTCCACAACTTGTAAAGCTTGCATCCACTTTTCATTTATTTTATCATTATTTTCGTTTAAAAAATTGTGAAGCACGCAGCACGATAATATTATGGCGTTTGCATTTTTTATGGAATTATCTATTCCTTTGCCAATACGCCTGAAACGAGCCTTCAAGTGTCCAAATGCGTTTTCTACTACTCTGCGAGATTTAGATAATCTGTAGTTGAAGAGCTTTTGTTGGCGGCTTTGTGAAATATGAAACGGATACGGCTTCATTAGCTTGTCACTTAACCGAAATGCCGAGTCCCCAATTATAAAAACCGGTACATCAACATCGGAAATAGTTTTTTTCAATTCGCTTAAAAGGACACATTCATCCAATTGTTGCTTTAGAGAAGATGTCTGAAAAATTTGAGAATCGTTGCAGCGTCCTGGGCTGCCGGAGCTAACATATATAAAACGACATCTGGAAAAAACAATAAATAAATAAATAAATAAATAAAGGAACTATTGAAGCCTTTCAGTGCTTCTACCTGGCGTCCACCAATGCTAGCAGTACGATTGAATACCATCCCTTATAGTTGTGGTAGTCTGTAGCGTCTTCCTTGGGTGGGTGAATCTCAATATGACATCCATCTATTAACGATTTCATTTAGTAAAAATAAAACAATATTTACTTCATAAAAAGGTGCTTACCAAGTGCTCCCATACATTGGGGAAATCCATATGTTTCAAACTCTTGCACCAAGCCTTTAATTTTGTCTTCTGTCAACGGAAAGTTTTTTAAATATATTGGAGCCAAAACTCTCCAGACCTCATTGCAAAAATCCAATAATATTTTGCATACGGTTGCCTTTCCCACGCCAAACATATTTGCGATTGTGCGATACTCGGAAGATGACCCTAGAGCATATAGAGCTATAGCAACTCGTTTTTCCAATGGTATCGCTTCTCGCATATTTGTATCACTTTTTCGCAGATCTGGCAGTAGTTCGCATAATTTATAAAAAAGTTGTCGGCTAATTCTGAAGTTGTTTTTAAAAAAAACTTCATCTCCTTTCTGACAATCTTTCTCAAAGAAGGATTGAGTTCGTTCCTACAAAAATATAAACACTTATCCATAAAAATTGGTTCAAGCACATCCAGTTTTTACAAATACTTACTTTTTTCCAAATTAATCTTCTTTCGGAGCCAAGTGATTCGTTCAAAGCATACAAAAGATCCAATTCCTCCAAAAGCAGCAAATGCTTATCCTGGAGATGCCGTAATACTGCGGAACATACTTTTGCCTCTTCACTCACCCTAGTTGTGGCCAACAACCTCCTCGACATAATTATTTTCTTCACCATTTGAACTTTTGCATCCATTTTATCTTTAATTGTTTATTCTTTATTTATTTTTCATGCTTTGTTTTGGCAGCTGTCTGTGTTTTGACATCTGTTTTCGATAAATTTCCGATAAAAATTAGAGAAGACAACGATTTTTTCATGATTCGTATGGTGATTGGATCTGAATCACCTAGGAATGAAGTGATTCGCTCTCAAAATTTTGTATGGCGAATTACGTGAT